ATTGCTTTCTTTTTCAAAGTCTTCCTTCTTTTCTCCTTAAATATTGTTGAATTATTTGTTCCTAAGCTCATCATACCATATAGAAAATATTTTGAGTAAAAAGTTTTCATAAGGAGATAATCATATCATTTTCTAAAAGACAGCCCCTGTCAGCACATTCCATCATAAAAACAGACTCTTGTCCCTTTGCAGAGGATGCTGTTTAATCACATTGGAGATGGGGCTTTGCCCCGAAGTGACCCCAATCTTTCTGCACCTGAAAAAGGTGGGTATTAACTAGCCCCTCGTGGGTCGTGGATGCATCAGGGTTTGTTGCGTCTTCATTTTCTCCAGTCTTCCATGCCATGTGGCAAGCAGGGTTCCAGATCTTTAATGATCAAGACTAGTGTGGTCTTTAGTGAATTGATGAAAGACAGTAGTTATTCATGATCCATTCTCCATCAACTACTAAGGGCAGAATCCGAACAAATTAGGAACCCCTTTGTGTAATGACTTTCTGCTGTCACTCAGGGAGTCACCTAGGCAAAGCCTGCTCTTCTTGAAACAAAGTTACCAATTAGGCCAATAGTTCAGCACATTGAAAATAGCAGCTTCCTAGATTGATTCTGTCTTCCCCATCCTTTGTCTCCTTCACAAAGCTCATTCAGCCAGCTCATCTGTTGTTTGTGGTGACTCAGACAGGCTCTTGTACAATTAAATACTGTTTAAGCATTGCAATCCAGTGCATAATGGAGTGTGCCCTGCCTCAAGGTCATGCACACACAAACAAGAACCAAATGAATACATAGCAGTAAGTAGCCAATTAGCAACATGCAGAAGAGGAAGAGCAGATTGAATATGGTTTCCTCAACTGTGGGGGTGGGGACTTGGAGTAAGTCACCCTCTCTCAGGGTCAGATCTCAAAAATAGCAGTCCCACAGGCCAATGAATCAAGACTCCCTAATGAAATGTCCTAGTAAAGTGCACTTTAATTGCCCTCATTAAGAACTAGACTGTATTACCGTTTTGGCACGCTGATACATTAACGGTAAAACTTTCCAAAGGGAGATGGAAATTTGTGAGGTCCTGGCCAATGCTATTTTAATGCACAGATTTAGCTTTACTCTTATAAGTCAAACACTGAATTTTACCAGTAGAACCTAGGAATGTGCTACTATTCCCAACCCCATTACTAAGGAAAACCACAGAGAAAACAGAAGAAAAATAATTTTAGAATAATTTCACCCCATTAAAGTGGTAATTTGAAGGAATACAATGTGGGGATCCTCAGTATGTCCATGAGATGGCAGTGTCTGCACAGGAAGCAAGCAGGAGCTGGGGCTCCATAGTTTAAACTTCATTGCACAGTGAGTGTTCATAACCTTGTGTGTCCTGCCTGCTTCCTAGCAGGGCTGTTCATATTCCTGCATCGTAATGCATGAAGCAGACAGATTACAAAATAAAAGTGACATTGTCAGAAGTCCATATTGTTTTCTCGGGACTTCTGTGTAACTCCTTGATTAAAGGCGAGTGTCCTTTCTTCACAGCGCTGGCCCCCGAGATGGTGTGGCACCCATGGCTCTTCTTCCCCAGGACTCTGCCACACAACTGAAGTATTAGAATGCATTTATTTGCCTTCTCTTTGGGTGCCATTGTCCAGAAATTTCTACAAATAATGTTTTAAAATAGACTAGTGGCTGTATTTTCCATCCGTTTTTCAACATCTAAACACTTAAAATTCTCAGCAGGTTTCTACACTCTGGCATATATTGTAGTCCCGTTTGACAGCTTGAGGGAAATAAAGAGGCCTGCAGTCACCCAATTAAATGTCAACTCGACTGTTAGGTAGTCAGTTAGAGAGAGGCTTAGTATTCAAGAAATTCCTTATTTGTTTGGGGTTGGGGTTTTGCTTTTGCTTTGTTTTTTGTCTTTTTTTTTTTTTTAATCCAGTTGATATTTTTCATTCTGGATAATTTTGACTTTCTTCTAAGATCTCAAGTGTTCGAAGGCAAGGCTGGATCGTGTGTTTTTAGCTGTGTTATTCCCTTCCAGCTGTGAACCCCACCCCTAGCAGCTGGAGCCTGGACAGTGGGAAAGAAGCCAAGACCATGTCGGATAGTGGGAAACTTATCTCTCCCCCTGTCCCTCCAAGACCCACACAGACTGGTGGGTATTTGAAGCATTTGAACAATCACTTTTATAAATAACTTTTATTAACTACTTCAAGTTGTTCTGAATTCCTCAGAGAAAGGTAGGCTTTTGGTTTCTGAGGTAAAAATCGTGATAGTGACATAATGCACTTAGCGTGTTTTCCCCATTTCCTAGACTTCTGTTACACAGAGTCAGACAATGGTCTATTTCTCATAAGCCCCTCAGGTAGGTTTTGGAGAATGCTGTCCTCCTCCAAGCACCATCCTCAGCTTTCTTGGTCTGTAGGCCACTCACATTTCCTCTGCCCTTGCTTGCACCAACCTCCGCTTACTTGGCTGCTTTCTTTAATCTTCTTCAGCACTGACATCAAGGTTTTAGTTGACCCAAATAAGAATTAACTCATGGTGAGGTGACTTTGAGGTGCCTCCAGTATCCTTAGTTATCCGCTGCTTTGAGAGGTCTGTATCTTACTCCTCTAAGGGCTGGTGCAGGGAACTGCATTTCCTTTAGCCGTGGTTCAAGAAGCATATTCTGAAACCTAACCTCATTTCTCCTGAGTCAGAATTTTAGCATTCCTGAAATATGGCCTAGAATCGGCACTTTCCCAAGCCATTCTAGCCATTCTTCTCATCACTAGATTCTGAGAAGTGCTAAGAATAGATCTAAGAAACTTCCAGCTTGAGGGTGTAAGCTATGATGATCCCTGAGTTCCAGAGAGAGACAGATAGACAGAAACTGATTCTTTTATGAATTTATAGCAGTAAAAGTCCACCTTTCCTATTAAACAAGCCACTTGCTTGGTGACCTGTTTGGGAGGGAGGTGCAGTTTTTAAGAGGGGCACCAGCTTTGCTGACTACCTACTCTGGTGACAGGGAGTCTAGTCAGCACTTACCTGTGACTGTTGAAGCTTTACGAATACAGCTGGCAGCCGGGTGGGCATGGTAGCACAGGGCTTTAATCCTAGGCAGAGGCAGGTAAGAATCTCTTGTGAGTTCAAGGTCAGCCTGGTCTACATAGTGAGTTCCAGGCCAGCTGGGGCTATAGGAAGACCTGTCTCAAAAAGACCGAAAAAAAAAAGAACAAATACAGCCGGCCTAAAAAGAAAAGATGGTACTATTTCCTTCATCGTTTTTAGACTGAGCATTCATGTTCCATTAGCTATGGTCTAACATCGCTTCCATTTATTTTTACCATTTTTAAAAATAAGCTGCATAGTAGCCAATTTGTTCTCAACTTGTTGAAGCTAAAAGTCAAGTCATCAATAATTTCTGAAAGGCGCATGAGATGTTTAAACAGAATGAGAAATAACTTTAACTTTATTGATCGTCTGCATTAGTGTATCAGTCTGACCGTGGGAAATGAGGACTCAGCCAGATCATTTCTGTTTCCTTTGTGACATGCATCTCTCACATTTAACCTGCAGTCTCCAGGTTAAAAGCCTGGTGTGTCCCTGAATCTAGGAACTTGAAAGACATTGTTAAGAAACAATAAGATTGAAAGTTCTTACTATGGAAAATAATATCCGTGCTAACTGGGTTCCTTGGTCAGTTCCAACTTGACATCAAGGATGCTAATGGACCTCTTAAGTATGTGGAAAGTACCTTTCCAGAAAAAGTAGCTGAGAATGAGCAAGTAGTAGGTATCAGGGCTGTGTGTAGTAACCAAGACTGAGTCAAGAGCAACTGGAAATCTTGAACTCTGCCCAAGTGGTAGCAGAAGGAGAACCCCCATCAAGGCTGGTTTCTCTGTCCATACCTGATTTTCTTCCCGAGTCAGCACCTACAGTGCATGAGATCAGAGACAGAGCCCTGATGTGAGACGCTGACGGGTCCGTCGGCATGCAGGGTAGAGGCCCCCACAGTGTGGCAGTAGGCTACTCTCTGTGGTCCCTGAGGACTCAGCTCAGGCAGGTGAACGGGCCTCTCTGGAGTGACTTGGCAGGGCTACCATCCCTTCTGCACTGATTGCTCTCATGTGCTGTCCTGATGTCATCATCCATGGTCTCTGTTGTGGGGCTGTGCAACTGTCTGTCTTTTGTTCTTTTCAGCCTTTCTGTAGTTTTCTTCTGAGTTACAAATCTTAGTGTGACATCTGGGAGAGTGGCAGGTAATCACAGAGGACCTCTGCATTCACCACAACCTGTCTGTGTGGAATTGGGAAGTGTGGCTTGTCCTTACCCTGTTGACTATGTCACAAGCTGCTTTTACACTATGCAGTTATGCTCCAGAGAGCTGGATCTGATCCAAAAGTACACACACACAGGCCAATACCACCACAGATACTGGGTCCCAAATGTCAGACCCCAGAATCCAGAGAGAGAAGCAGAGATCACTTTTCCTCACCATGATGATGATATCAGAGAATACCACCACTCAAGGGGCTAAGGGAAGACCTAAGCTTGGACATGAGGAGAGAAATGGGAACTGCTCGCCTCTTGTGTAGACATAAGCAGGCTTTTCATCTGTGCTGAGAGATGAGGTGAAATGGAAAGCTGACAAAATAAATCTCCACTGAGGTATTCTAGGCTGCCTACGTGGCCTTGATTGTCCCATTGCTTCTCAGACCAAAGCCAACAGCTGTCTCCCAAGGACTCCTGACATCTTATGTCAAAAGCACCTTATGAGCTAAAGAGATCAAGCAGTGAAAAGTATCTGGATTTGGGGGAAATAGGATATTTGAGCTGAGTGTGGAGATACACACCTATAATCCCAGCACTTGCCATGTAGAGGCAGGAGGCAGGAGTTCAAGGTCATCCTTAGCAACATGTTGAGTTCAAGGCCAACTTGAGCTACATGAAACCCTGTCCTTATACTCTGATCAAAGTACTGTGTGTGCACTGGTAACTTTTCACTAATTGGCCCATGTCTTGGTGAGGAATCTGTTCTAGAAGAACATCATTTAGTTTCTCCTTGATCTTCGCCGAGGAGATCCTTATACACTGGACCGTCTATCCAGGTTTTTACACACAGAACACATTTACAGAGAGGCTGCTTTCTGGTTTTTCATAATTGAAATGTTCTTTCCCTCTCTTCATTTACAGCTTCGCCAGCAAGACACACAACATCAGTATCCCCCTCACCTGCTGGGCGGTCTCCAATGAAGGTACTGGCCTCTCCTTCACCTGGGACCAGAGACTGGTCCTGATTTCTTTTTTCTCTAAATCTCAAGTATGTCAAAAGGTGCTTTCACTTTCACAGACAAGGCAAAGAACATATCAAGAAAAAGGGACAATGGGCAAAGAAACAGCTCTGCTTTTCCCCTTGGGGAGCATCACCCATGAATGTGCAACCCTTGCTGTTATAGTTGTTGATTATTGGTTTTATTGTTTTTATTATTGTCATCTTTTTTAATTTTTAAATTTTCTTTTTAAAATGTGTATGAATATTTTGCCTGCATGTATTTAAGTGTACCTGTGTATGCAATGCCTGTGGAGGCCAGAAGAGAGAGCCCAACACCCTGGAACTACAGTTGAGGGCTGTTGTTAGATGCCATGTGGGTGCTGGTAACGGAACCTGGGTCCTCTGCAAGAACAGCCAGTGCTCTTAACCACTGAGCCATCTCTCCAGCCCCCACATTATCATTATCTTAATTCTCCAAATAGTGGCAGTGAGAACTTACAAACTGTAAGTACTGAAAGAGAAAAGAAATATGGTCACAGTTTAACTCCTGGGATATTTTCAACTTATGCTTTTGCTTTGAAGCACATTAAAAACACACACACACACTAAGATTGAAAAGCATCAATAATCAAGGTCTACTAAATAGTCTTCGCTGGGTTTTGGCCTTCATCATGAACCTCATCCATTTTGACAAAGCCAAACTCAACTTTTTCTCCTTTAATATTTTGTACTAAATATGTCTCACAGTGCAAATGCATACTTGATTAGGTAATACAAGAGGTTAAAAATGGATTGAGAAATTTCTGGGGAACAAACCAGCACGCTTTAAAAGGTCAGATGTTTGAACTGGTATGTAAATACAGGGTATTTAACATCTCTAAATATATAAATCCCTTATGAAAATAAAGAATAATATTTAGCCTTTATCCATATTCGATCAGACTTGCTGCAGGGCTTGTCAGTACATGTGAGAGGGCGGGTGTTCAGAGCTGCAACCCCAGGCGCAGCTAAGAGGCTGAAGTGTGGAAGAACAGCTTGTACAGAATGACTTAGGATTTACACACTCTGTGTCCTCTGTGTTGATGAGATAGTTCTGGCTAAGGTGGAAAAGACAAATTAGCCTCCACAAGCGCGTGGGGGCAGGTTGTGACCCAGCAGCGCATCTCTGCTGCTGAGGGCACCTGCCGATAGCAGGAGAAACAAAACCAGAAAAGAAGAAAAAGCTCAAAAAACGTGTGATTTCCTTTTATTGCCAAATTTTCTGATGTAAGATTTTGCTGGTAAGTGCAAATTATTTTCTAGTTTTACTGTCACTCTGCAGTGCAGCTGTTGCCATAAAGCCCGTGTGACAGCATCTGCTTTGGAAGCCATTGCTGTAATCCTGATGTGAGAAAAGAAAGGCAGCCTGGCCTTTCCACATCTTTGTATCTTCTGACTCAAAAAGCAATCCCACATGGTTCTGAAATTACTATGTTTTTAAAATGACGTTGCAAAGTAGAAATAATATAATAAGTAACGTGGGGGGGTGTGTTTTTTTGGGGTTGGGTGGGTTGTTTTGTTTTTGTTTTTGTTTATCTGAGGCAAGGTCTCATTATGCACCCTGGCTAGCCTAGAACTCACGTAGACCATTCTAGCCTGGAGTTCACAAGATCTTCCTGCCTCTGCCTCCCTGTGCTAGGATTAAAGGTGTGCACATCACACCCTGCTAAGAGATTCATTTTTTTTGAGGGGGGGTCTTTTTGAGACAGGGTCTCCCTGTAGCCCCAGCAGTCCTGGAACTCGTTATGTTACTATGTAAACCAGACTGGCCTTGAACTCACAGAGCTCCGCCTGCCTCTGCCTCCCAAGTGCAGGGGTCAAAGGCATGTGGCACCACACCCAACAAGAGATTAATTCTTAAAGAGCAAAAGCAACCTTGCTCAAGTAGCTGATAAACAATTCCAGTTAGCAAGCTGGTCTGCATTGCCTCTCTATAGACCTGCATGTATTTGTAGTGGCTGGAGACAGTCTTGTAACTATGTCTTTATAAATGGGGCTTGAAGGAAGAGAAAAGAGATCACATGACCTAGGTTACTTTACATGGCACAATACCACCAAGTATTGAGCTTTGCTATGATTAGAATGTAGTTCACTAACTTATCTGATAGAATTTGGGGTATATTTTTGTCAACATTTACATGTTAGAATTACCCCTTTACTAGAAACTAAACTTACCTCTTATTTTGAATTCGAGCTCTTTCTTTTTAATATCAACAAATTTGGCTCTCATAGTTCACCATGTGCTTAATTTTACGCTCCTATGAAATGATTTATGTCTACCAGCATTATTTAATTTAAAAAGAGAAAAACAGGGGCAGCACAGATAGCTCAGTTACTAACGTGCTTGCCTTGCAAGGAAGGGCCTGAGTCAGATTCCCAGAACCCATTTAAAAATGCTTGGTATGGTGGCATGCACTTGTGATCCTAGTGCTATGGAGGTAGACAGGTGCCTGTTGGCCAGCCAGCCCAGCCTACTGGGTCTCCTGGAGACCAACATAAAGTTAGCCTAGGATAACATTTCTTGAAGTGTGTACTGTAAAACATTAATCTATAAGGCATGAGGTGATAAGTAAAAAAAAAAAAAAAATCTCTTTAAAAAAAATGGGGTAAAAAAAAGTTTTTAAGTTTGTTTTTTTAAGTATAAAACTTGTACTGTAAAACATTAATCTAAAAGGCATGAGGTGATAAGTAAAAAAAAAAAAAGATCTCTTTAGAAAACATTGGGCTAAATAAAGTTATTGAGATTGTTTTTTTAAGTATACAACCTTAACATACTACTAATATGTTTTCAATGCACCCAAAGAGGATGTCATAGACAGCATTTCCCACTGGGGTCTTCAGGTCAGAGACTATCTCCTAGGATTCCTTAGAAGTTCTTAAGATACCAGCTTTTGGGGGTGGGGTAGCAGACTCAGATGCCAGACAGAGCCAGCTGACCAGGTTGGCTGGAGCACCATGTGGAGAAGTGGGGTCTATGGTAAACTGAAGTCTCCATACCCCATCCTTAAAGGGCAGACAGACCCTGCACAGCTTCCAGTCATCTCCGTAAGCAAAGCTCTGCTGCTGTTACAGAGCTCCTGACTCTCTAAAAAATGCCTTTAAGCTGGAGCTTTATGTTAACATCTTCCTAGTTTTAAAAATTAGCAACCAAATTAGGTTTTTTGAAAACATGGCAGATGAAGTGGCTCACATCTCAGGAGGCAAGAGCTCGGGGTGCTGTCAGTTTGCAGCTTTGGTTCAGAGTTCTCCTGTCTTCGCACAGAAGAGTCAATTACAAGACCTCCAGTTTTGTCCTACCCACTTGGCCTCAAGTTGCTGTGTCTTCTTCTCCTGCCTATCTGCCAGTTATTAGCATGTGGGCTGCTGAAATAGGAAAGCAAATGGTGTCGCCCAAAAGCTTTACTCCCTAGTTCAGATAGGACTGATAATGTATGCCTCCAGATTCTCTTGCTGATTCCTGTCTTCCTCTGCAAGCAACCAGTGAGGTGAGCTGGTAAATGGTGAGCCAGGCAGATTAGGGTCTGATGGTATTTTCAGTCCTGCAACACTTAGATTGAAGTCTGGCGTTTGTCATAGCTTGAGCTATCACAAATACCACAGGCCCGGTGGCTTAGATAACAGACTTATTTTCTCCCACACCTGGAGGTTAGAGGCTGGAGGCTGGAGGCTGAGGCTTGGAGGATGTGGTCAGTCCCAGGCTTCTCTGTGGCTTGTTGATGCAAGCCACAGATTTCCCTCTGCACTTTTCAGATTTCCCTGAGTCAAGTTTATCTTTTAGAAGGAAACTAGAAAGGTTGGCTTAGAGTCATGGAAGCTTCCTTAAGTATCAAGATGCAGCCACCTGCTGGGCACTGGAGACCGGGACTTCATCACGTGGTCCTGGGGAAACGTGGCAAACTTTGCTTGCGGTGTCCCTGACTGCTGTCTCTCTTCTCGCTTTTGTTCCCGCCCCTGTGGAACAGGGCTCCGTGCAGTCCTTCACGCCATCTCCGGTGGAGTACCACTCCCCAGGACTGAGCTCCAACTCCCCGGTCTTGTCCGGCAGTTACAGCAGTGGAATCTCTTCTCTCAGCCGGTGTAGCACGTCGGAAACCTCAGGCTTTGAAAATCAGGTGAACGAACAGTCGGTGCCCGTGCCCGTGCCCGTGCCTGTGCCTATGCCTGTGCCCGTGCCGGTGCCCGTGCCCAGCTTCAGCGGGCCGGAGGAGCCGGTGCGCAAGGAGAGCAAAACCCCACCCCCGTACAGCGTCTATGAGCGGACTCTGCGGCGCCCGGTCCCGCTACCTCACAGCCTCTCCATCCCTGTCACCTCCGAGCCACCCGCCCTGCCTCCCAAGCCCCTGGCAGCACGGTCCAGCCACCTGGAGAACGGCAACCGGAGGACTGAGCCCGGACCGCGGCCCAGGCCCCTGCCCCGCAAGGTCTCTCAGTTATAATTCACTTTTCTATGTACCTGCGATGAATTCTTTGCCGTTTACAAAATAAGTCTGATGAGAAGACATTTAGTGTAGGCACTTTAATATCTTACTCAGATCTTTGTTTAAATGAATGGAATTTAAATTTGCTTATTAATATAATGTTGCACAGTATATAAAAGTTACTGATCTAAAACGCCAGGTGTTACATGAAGTAGGGCTGAGTCTCATTAAAATGTTTCTCATTTGAAAGTGGTAAATCATGAAAAAGACACTTTTTGTATCTTTTTATGTTCACTTTTTTTTACATAGTTTAATCTTAAAACAATACGATATTGTCAAGCAATACAATGCGTGATAATGTTGTATATCTTTTTCTGAATACTTGATACTGAGAAAGCTTATCAGCCTGTGCACATCCTAACACAATGGTCCTTATTTTAGACTTTTGTAAATAAGGTGAGATTGTGGCTCTTCCCTTGAGCAGAATGTTCAGCTCCTGTCCTCAGAATTAAGGTTATGGCAGGCAGGTTAGACAAGATACTTAAGGGTTCAGAGGATTGGGACAGGAAGTTGTTTTGTTCTTGAAACAAAATGCTTCTTTGAGGTTGCTTTTGACATTTGACAGCTGTCTACATTCTAAAACTCTACTTTGTGAATTGGTTGCTAAATCTTTTAGTACCCTGATGCCATGCTATCTGCTGTATTTCTTTTCAAGGTGCAATTTGCTTTCAGAGTTCCAATCAGCTAGATTAAGTTAAAGACCCCAGGAGAAATGTTTACTTGCATTTTGTGCTTCCTTACTTGATGATTTCCTATATAAAACGTGTCATTGAAGAAGAGCAGGTATTCACGTATTAAATAGGCACAAATTACTGAGTCCTATTAACAAGAATTCAGGAATCAATACAGAACAGTATTAAATCAGTAGAGTGGAAGAAGAAAGAAACCTTAGCGAAAATGTATTAGCATGATTGAGTGGCAAAAGGACTTTGAAAAGGCAAGGGCATTAACTTCCAATCCTGTACAAAATGAAGAATTCCTCAAATTCTCCATTCTAACCATGGAGTTTGGCTTCTCTGCTCATACTTTGGTTGGAGGAAGAGGATTATGGGCCATTCTAGGTTGGTATTGCAATGTAGCATCTTAGATGGAAATAGAATAGACTCGCTGATGCCACGACTGTAGGAGTGTGAAAAAAAAGCACCTTGTATGTAGTAATGTATTTTGTATCTATGTTTTTTCTTTTACTGACTGTTTATAACACTCAAATGACAATAGGTATGAACTGTATTTTAAACCATACTGTTAAATATTTTCCCTCTTTTGTTGGGAAGCTCATCTTAGTTTAATTGTGTTTGTTTCTGTTGATAGATTACCTGGAAGGCAGTGAACACTTTTTTATATTCTCTTAATGAAACCATTCAGCAGGTATATGCTGTTGAGGCTGGTTATAGAGGTTTTCTATAATAAATGTTCAAGTATTTTTGTACATAACTGGTTAATTTTAATAAGAGATACCATTATGTGTAAAAAACAGTAAAAATAAAAGCAAACAATTGTGGATGCAGTATGATTGTTATAATTATGCCAAATACTTTATGTATGGAAAAAGAATATTTGTACATATGTGCTTTTAACAATTCTGCCATATTGACTTTACAATTTTGAATGTCAGAAAATTAATATATGTAAAAATATTTATGTTTAGTGAAAGTATTCATAATTGAGGAAAGGAACATATGAATTTTAGCTTTGTATCTTGCAAGTTTTGCAGTTGGAAATTTCTTGAACTAGCTTTTGCATTTGATGATAACACTTTGTGTTTGTAATCACATCCTAAAATATATATATATATATACATATATATGTATGTAGGAAGCTCCTTATTTCTGTTGTTTTAAAGAAGTAAAATCTTCCATTTAAATAAGCTGACATGCATAAGATAACAAAGCTTCTTTGATTTCCTCTTCCTGTGTAATTTAATAGGTTTCTGGACTAGTGCTTGGGCACAGAATAAAATCAGTGTTATTTGCTCTTGAAGCTTTTTTAAAAATTTTTGGCAGTAAACAGTTGACTTTATCATGTGTGTATATTTTAAAGCAGCTATATAGCAGAACATTTCAAGAGATTCTGATAGCTCAGATGTTCATGTCAATAGTTGCTGAATGGTAAATATTAAATAAAGTTACCAGATTAATCTCAATGCCTCTGTCTTTATTCCTGTCATCAATGTACCTTTACCTAGAATAGCAGCTGCAAAAATCTCTTGGTTCTATCACCATGATATTTGTAGACGTCTTTGTTGATAGAGCCTATGTTTGTTGCTATGGGACTCTGACCATAGATCATTTATGCCATGGAGAACAGAGGTTGCAAAGTTAACAGTATAAGTTACCATCACATGGAGAAGATAGCATTTACCTGGGCAGCTGAACATTAATTAGCTTGACCAGAGCCAATTTAACAAATCAAGCCATCAAAGTTTGTTTGAACTTGACGGAAAATGGATAAGCCTGGTGGACAAGAAAATGATCGAATGCTGTCTCTGCCAGCTGTGACGTGCTTTGTCTGCATGCCAGCTCTTCTCCCTGGCTTTGACAGAATGATAGGAAATATATTTGATAATCACTGCAAACTTCATTGACTACAAAATTTCCACTAAATAAAGCCTGTCTTCTAATTTCATGAGATGTGTCCATGCTGTGTTACGTTTGCATTTTTGTCAGTGCTAAACAAACAGCTGTGTTGTTAAATACCAAAACCCATCTGAAGGCCATTGTCAATATCTTCCTAATTGCCTCTCAATATTAGCTACAGGATTTTAGAGCATTTGTGGAGCATTTTCATTATAACTGAGCCCGCAAGTATTTCAAGTCTATGTACATAATTACAGTATGAATAACTCAGATTCCTACCTATTAAGTTCTTCTTTAGATTCTTATTGATCATTCTACCAAAGACAACATGAGAATAACAACTTGTACTCTTTTGTCTTTACACATTAAATGGTGGCTTGTACCAAAATGTATTATTACTGAAGCCTTGCCCTTACTTTATAAGAAAATCATAAAAAGGCTTTTGTTACCAATAGTTTGGGTCTATGCTAGGTGTCCCCACATTCTCAGCCTCTTATCCAGAGAGTTGAAAGAAGGGTTCACACAGATTTGGAAAAGTAGTAATTTTATTCAACGCAAAGCCATAGCACAGATCAGAAATACATTGTCCTAAGTAATAGCAGGCTGTATGAGTGAGGGTACTCAAAGGCCGCAGTTATTGTTTAGGGGCTTCCTTTTATGGACTTTGAGAGAAGGAAGAGTTTGGTTGTTAAGAGGTATAATGAGGATAGTTCTCTGCTTTGATTGACAGGTTAAGTTATAACCATTTTTCTCTACTGTGCATGTCCCTTCTCATAATGCATCTAATTTTAATCATATCCACATCCAATTATACATGGCATAAGATGATAAATAGGGGATTCTCCCTGAACAGTCTCTTAAAAGACATGTGTGCCTTATTGTGCATGTGCCCAAAAACAGTGTGCGTTGTCGAGTGCTGGTTCCCCAGATATCACCATATGACCATGTTGATGATACAAGGCTGAGCTTATCGCTCCATGCCACAAGGAAGTGAGCCCCATCTTGACAGCTCTCAGGGGAGCAAGAATATGATCAGGCTCCATTTAATTTTTGGAGTTCTGCTTAAGGCTTTGATAAAGATTAAGGCCATACTGTACCTGTTTAGGACTGGTAACAGCAAAGCAAGGACTTAATCACTACAATAAGGTCAGCACTACCCACCACCTGAGGGCCAATGTTTTGAGGCAATGTTTGAGAGATAATTGGTAGGAAAGAATTTGACTTATTCAAAAGCTAGCATCTTAAGATGATAGAGAAGCTGCTGACCTCAGAGTTCCATCTTGTTGGGCCTAGGGACACAAAGGGGTCTTGTAAAGAAGGAAAGGCAGACCTGGGTGAAAGGACCACATGCTAAGAGGAATCTTCATCATCCAGGCTGTGACTTTCCTTCTTTGGAACACTTCAATAGACTCAATTTCTTGGGATTAGCACATTTAGTTCTTTTTAGACAGACATGTTACTTTCTGCAAGTTAAATCAACATGAATTTTGTTAATTGATTTGAACTAAAGACTTAGGAGAGGAGTTACAAAGGTGAGCAGGTGTTCTGAGTTCTGTTAATCTAAAAGAAAAATTATTTAGCTGATAACATCTTAAACTATTTGGATGAGAAGTCTCCTTTGAACTTAAAATACTGAGCAAAAGTTAGGGGATACAACCTTTGCAAAACAGCTAGGAAAACCAAGTGTGACTCATACCTACAATCCTAGTTGAGAGGCTGAGGCAGGATGACTGCTGAGTGTTTGATGCCAGCCTGGGCTACATAGTGAGTTCCGGGCCAGCCTAGGTTACATAAGACCCTGTCTCAAAGAGTTAAACAACAGCAAAAACGTAGGAACAGCAGCCTTACAAAAGGACAAAAAGGATGGGAAACAAAACGAACTTGCCATGTACAACTTCTCAATGGAGCTACCATTTACATTCTGAGAGAAAAGGTTCAAGGAGTCTTAAAACAACTTTCGTTGGACACTTTCTATTGAGTTGATAGGTCTATTGAGAAGTTCCTATTATGAATAACAGTTATTTCCGTGGACAAGAAATTAATGGAAGAGTAGAATAATGCTAATGAACATTGGAATAGGAAGCCAGTTTGATTAGGCATAAGTTGTAAGAGGTTGTTGGTTTCCTTGCTCAACAAGTATTTTTGCATTGTTATAATCATAGTAGACATACACTTTTATTTTGGTCTATGTTAATAGTTCTTACTTTCATACTATGACATGCATGTAAAAGGCAAAGAACATATTCAATTTATTTAACCATTTCTCTGTTATTGGACATCTTGTTTCTAGAAACATTTTTTGTTTGTTAATATTTTATTTATTATTTTTAAATTATTTATTTAATAACCACATGATTAAAAGAAGCATTTCATTACAGCACTGACATTTTCAATAACAATTTCCAGAGCTAAGCTGCATCTCTTTCAACATTGGCTGTAAATTTTTAGGTTCACGGTTGCATTAAAACAGTTATAGAATATTAAACTCAGTGTAAACCCTATAAGACATAAAATTGAATGAGGTTTTAACCTTTAAAAAAGATCTCCATTTCATTTTAAAATATACTGTTTCATACAGAAAAGCTTCTCTTTTTTTTTTTTTGGTCTTTGAGATAGGGTCTCCCTGTAGCCCCAGCTATCCTGGAACTCACTGTGTAGACCAGGCTGGCCTTGAACTCACAGATATCCACTTGCCTCTGCCTCCCAAGTGCTGGGATTAAAGGCATGCGTCACCACGCCCAGCTTGAAAAGCTCATATTTAATGCAACTAACACATGTTTGAGCATGTGTCTCTAATCTCTATATATCTGATTATTACTAGTCCCAGTCGATTACTTTCTGAGATCCTTGGCACCTGAGCATGGATATAAAGTAATCAGGTAAACTTCAATTGTAATGTTTTTCGCATCTACTAATTAACATGAAGCAAATATTTATGCTTCTTCCTCAAATATAACTCATTTTTTTATTTATTGATTTTTTTGTGTGTATTTCATACAGAATATCCCAAACAATCTTATTCATCTATATACCCACATCCCAAGTGGCACCCTCCCATAGACCCCCTCCCCACTACAGCCAATATATTCTGTCATCCCTGTTACTGTCCTCTGTGTTGTCAGTGCCCACAGCCATTCCCCAGTGCTTGTCCATCCGCTGAGTCTAGTCAGCTTATCAAGAGTTCCTTGTTGTAGTAAGATCACCTCTTCCTCATCTAGCAGCAATCAGTTGCCAATAATCCTTTAGATAAGATTGGGGTCTGCTGATCATTTTCCCCATTCTATGCTGGGTTACTATCTGGGAGTCTCTTGGGCCACTATGGCCAGCAACTTGAAGGTATCTCCTGTCTGGCATTGTTTCTTGTTATGTAGCCTTTAGCTATACACGTGGACTCTTAAAGAATTATATTGATCCCTTTAATCTTTGGTTATACGTTTCTTTTGGGTGTTTAAGACCATGAAGTTGGCCCAGATAAACCAATTTATTTTTATTCTTAAGGTCGTTTGAGGATCAGGGGTCACATGGGTTTGGGAGGAGCCCTTGGTGCCTTTCTTTTACCAGTTCCATCTATGTGAAGATAAGTCAAAAGTCCTGGTCAACCATGGCTGGCTTCATTTGGAAGCATGGAGGAAATGTTTCTTATGTGTTGACCTTCTTCTTTGTAGACTGGACACTGGTTCAAGTCCATTGGTGGGGTCTCCATGGCCTCCTTGATCAAGAGGACAGGTGACTCACCACAGTTACAGGACATTTTGAGAGATGCTCCATAGTCCCCTGGAACTTAGTCAACCTTGGAGGGCAAGGAGCAAAAACTGTCCTAAGTCTCTCTGATCAAATTAGTATAGGCCTCAAAATATGGCTGTTAAACATCCAAGAAGGTTAGTTCCACCAGTCTGGTACTTTTAATTATCATGTGCTATGTAGATAAAGCTTGGGCAAAGATCAAATGTTCTCAGCTAAACCTTGCCTAGACATGTATTACATTCATTGAGCTAGTTGTGTGTATAATTTGTCAGTAGGCTGTTGGACTAATGTGGTTCCCTCTGTTTTTTTGTTTTTTTTGTTTTTTTTTTTTTAAATCTAGCTAGGCACTATTTATCCCTCGCATTTTCTAACCCTTCCACCATGGTTTCCTCATTTAAGGTGCCCCCATTTTTCCCATTTCTCCCTTAATAATGCCCTTCTCCTATGGTCCCACCTCTCTTGAGCTCCATCTTTCCCTTTCTCCCCAAGGTTCCTTGTATAACCCTTCCTTCCCCCCTCCCATAAAATAACCCCATTTTAATCCCTAGCTCCCTTATTAACATCTGTTTCCTACTGTTCTTCTCTTTCAGTTTCTTTATTTTCCTTCACCTCCCTGGTTCATTTCATTATCCTGGTTCTTGTAGTCATGTCTGGATACATATTTACTTATCAGGATTTGGTGCTTGGATCCACATATGAGGGAGAATATATTTCAGTTTGTTTTTTGTTTGTTTATTTGTTTGTTTTCTGACTCTGTGTTACTTCACTTAGTATAACAGTTTCTAGTTCCATCCATTTACCTGAAAATTTCATGATATCATCT